TCTGTATGGATTCGGATTATTGTTTGATTTTATGCGGATTTAAGGAAGTTTTTATGGCTAAAGAAGTGAACACTGTTATTGATTTGAATTCTAGTTGAAGGTTTTGGTTGCTATTTGTTTGGATCTAGATTAATATATGATTTTGTGCGAATTTAGCTAAAATTTGACAATTGAAGGAGTGAACCGTGTATTTGAAGTGGTACAACATTTATTGACTTCACGGGTGGTGGCAAGAATATCAAAAGCGATGGTAAGCTTATAGGTGGTGGTGGCTGTGAGTGATGGGGTCGTGGAGAGAAAATTGGTTTTGGTTAGGAATGTCAAAAGGGTTGAGCCGCTTGTCGGTTCGATGGCTCAGCTCGTCAAAATAGGGCTCGTGGGCGGCTCGAGCTCGTAAAATCATGAGCCTGAGAGCGAGCCGAACCGCTCGTGGGTGACCTCACATGCTCGTTTGCTCGACTCGTGGCTCGCAAAGAAGGTGACCAAAACGGTCATTTTTTTTTAAAAAAAGTGACCGTTTTAGTCACTTTTTCAGTGATGTTTGGTCACTGAATTTTTTCAGTGATCGTTCGATCACTGATTTTTTTTTTAATTTTTTCCCCCTTCTATTATAAATACCCCTTAACCTTCCCTTGTTTTTTTTTTTATATCAATTACTCAATCACTATTCCAACTCTCTCAACTCTCTTTTATTATATCAATTATCGAGTTTTTACCCTCTTGTGCTGTAAAATATACAATATTAATTCAATTTTTACAGTTTATTAGTTACAATTTCAATTCATCCAATTCTCATTTCTCACAATCTCACTACATTTATATTTTTCTAGTTATTATATTTGGATTTCATCATAAACAATCAAACAAATGGACCAACGCTCATTTGTTGAGAGCTTATTCGATACGGGATATGGGTCACATCATGACGAATCGCCTAGGACGCCGCGAAGTCAATTTTCAAATAAATTTGTCGGTCTAAATGACATACTCATACATGAAGATGTTCACATTCACGGTCAGGGAAGCCACAATCCAATTGATTTGGATGATATTAATGTTCCCGAAGTGGAACATGAGGACAAAGATGCCGACTTAAACATCCCAAACGCGAGGGAAAAGTGAAAGGGCAAAAAACAAGTAAAATGTTGGGATCACTTTAAGTTGATTTCAATGGAAAAAGTCGTCGATGGCCTTGCAGAATCTAAAGCAGTATGTAAATACTACCAACAAAGATTGGCATGGCAAAAAGAAATTGGTACCACCCATCTTAATCGCCACTACAAAGCATGTGCGGTCAGACATGGACTTTTTCCAGTTGGTCAAACACAATTACAATTTAACAGTCCAGGCACCGGTTCTACAACTTCACCCCCATCCACATGAGTATATTCGGAGGACAATACTGGAACCGGAATGGTAAAATTTGTTGCCGCCACTAAGTTGCCTCTGGCTATTGCAAACAACCAACATTTCGTCTCGTTCTTGAAAGAATATCTGCAATCGAGATACGTTGGAGTAAGTCGAAACACTCTTCGTGCCGATACAATACAATATTTCAATAATTCAAAACAACAATTAATTATGGATTTGCAACAATATGGGGGTGTTATATCTTTAACTTCTGATATATGAGAATAGGTTAATAAAAGAGCATATATAGTTGCAACGGCACACTTATAGACCCACTTTGGTGCATGTATAAAAAAATTATTGCTTTTAGAATTATTGAGTTTCCTCACAATGCTAATAATATATATAATACTATTATTAGCTAATAATATATATAATACTATTATTAGTATTGTTAGAGAATATAATTGTGAGACTAAAATTCGTTCTTTTACTTTTGATAATGCTAGTGTTAATAAGGTAATCGTCAATAAATTGTGTAGGACACTTCAACCTGATTTTGGTGGGCATTTGTTTCATATTTTTTGTGTGTATCATATCTTAAATTTAATTGTGCAAGATGGCTTAAAACATATAAATGATGAATTTCAAAGGATTAGAAATACATTAGTATATATTACGATCTCTCCTAGTAGAAATCAAACATTTGAAGATTATTGTGCCGAACTAGGAGTGACAACTGCTAGAACATTTGTTAGCGATGTAGGCCATAGATGAAACTCTACTTACTTGCTATTAAAGTCATGTGAATGTTACAAAAATTTAATAACTGACTTTTATAACAATAGACACGTTAGAAGTGATGACAATAGTATGTTAAATGAATACGATTGGATTTTAGGTTTGAAAGTTAAACGATTTTTGACATCTTTTTATGAGACCACAAAGATTTTATCCGGCGTTTATTATCCCACAAGTTGTATGGTACTTGAATGCCTTTATATAATTGCAAGAACATTCCATAAATATAAAAATGATCATACTTTTAGTGAAATTATGATTGCTATGGAATTAAAGTTTAAAAAATATTGGGAAAAATTGCCTATGTTATTTCCTTTAGCATGTGCAATGGACTCCCGATATAATATTTTGGGAACTAAATATGTAATTGATCAAATCAATAAAGTTTTAATACTTGATACACCTATTACCTAAAAGAATTTAGAGCAAACATTATGTGAAATGTATGATTTATATGCGGAAAGAATGAGTGCAAATGTTAGTCGGGTACCCTCTGCACATACTCCTTTTGCTGAAATTGAAGAAGATGATGTCGAAATAATGAATTTATTTCAAGACATTAATATATTTAGATATGATGCAACTGCAATGTGTTCATCTTGTGCCACGTTGTTTACATTTGCATATCATCAAACATTGATCGAAACTCAAAATGCAATGTCTGCCGAATTAATTGAGTACTTCAATCATAATATGCCAACAAACAGAACAATTAAAAAAAGTTTAGAAGAAGTAATTGAATTCTAGCAAAATTATGAAAGACGTTGGCCAATTGTTTCTGCAATTGCGAAAGATCTACTGATTTGCTTAGGAGTCTGCTTTTAGTGCAAGTGAAAGGATTTTGACCGATGTCAAGAGTTGACTGAAAGAAGATGTTTCGGAAGCGTTAATGTGCGTGAATGATTGACATGACGCTCATTTTCGACTACAAGATAAATACGCTGAAATTGCATGTTGTCAGGTAAGTGATATTTGATTTAATTATATTAATAAAAAATTCTTTATTTTTTAATCGTTAAATTTAATTTTCTTTTAAAAATTGTACACGTTACAACAAGTTGTTCGTGTACAATTTTTAACTCCGCCTACTTAAAATTGATGTAGCCAGTCCCAAATCCGGATAAAGGAGGAGAGTTTATATTTTATCTACTTTAAAAAGAAATAAAAAGATATATTTTTTGTAAATGTATTTTAAAAAATAATTCGTTTTTATTATATAAATATTTTATACTTTATGAAAAATATTATAATATGATATATATAAAAAAATAAAAAAGTGTCTTCATTAAATTATTTGTATTTTTTAACACTTTTTATTTTTTTTAAAAAGTATTTTCATTACATTATTTTATTTATTTGTGTTTTTCTCTTTATAAAAAAAAGGACAAGACCAAGAGCCAAAGCTCGGCTCGACCCTCGTCCAAATTCAATGAGCCACGAGCTCGGCTCGCCATCGTGAGTTTAAGGGTCGAGCCGAGCCACCACTGGTTTTGGTGTTGGATTTGGTAACGGAGATAGAACCAACATAGTTTTATCAAATTTTTAATGATGGGTGGTTTTTTATCAGATCTTTTGTTTAACTAGAGTTTTGGGATGATTGTTGGTATTTTACAGTGTCGGTGATTTTCTAATCCATGGTGATTTTGTTGTTGGTGGTCGTGGTAAGGTAGTGCATATTTGATTCGTTGGTTCTGTGGTTGCTGTGATGGTTTTGTGATCGATTGTGACTTGAGATTGAACTGGTCACAGACAGTTACATTGAATACAATTTTGGTCACAATTAGTTATATCGAAGATAAAGTTGGTCACGGTTAATCACAAGTCTGCAGTGTGTGCAGATTTGTTTGTGGTGACCCTATATGATCAAGTATGTGTGTTGTCACTGTTTGTGGCCAATTTTGTGTTGATTGTGATCGGTTGTGACTTGAGATTGATTTGGTCACATGCAGCTACGGTGAATACAAATTTGATCACAGCTAGTCACATTGAAAACAAAGTTAATCACAAGCGTTGGAGTGATCATTGGAGTAGTTTGTCGGAGGGATCACCGAACAAGCGTCGGAGTGATCGTCGGAACAGTTGTTGAGCGACCGCCGAAGCTAATGGCTCGTCTCTCTTTATCCCACCTCTCCTCTCTCTGATTTTTGAAATTTCAAACTTTATTTCTTAATTTTGCAATTGGTCATATGCATATTCATGCCACTCGATTAGATTACATATTCAATAGAACTTGTCACAGATCAAAATGTGCACAGGTCACAAATCTAATGGAACTGATCATAGGTCATTGCCAAAAAAGAAGAGAAAAGAAAAAAAGGTAGTCGATGAAATGTGATGATCATCGGAATAGTCGTCGAAACGTTAGGAGAGGTCGTCGGAATTGTTGGGGAGGTCACCTGAATATTCATCGGAACAGGATAGGTCGCCGAAATTGTTATTAGAGCCGTTGACGAAATTGTCGGGAGGTCCTCGAAATATTCGTCAGAGAGGTCGTCGGAATTGTCCGGAGGTCGCCGGAGAAGTCGCCAGAGGTGAGATGGGATGAAGAGAGAAAGAGAAGGATTCGATGTGATGGATGGATTGGAGGTGAAGTGGGATAAGTAGATTAATTATACTATAAATTTTTAATAAATTTAATTATCACCTTATTTTTGAAAGATTTTTAGATGTTTGTTAGTTGTGAAATGTGATTTTTAAATATAGGATTTGTGTGTTGTTCCCTTATTTTACCAATATTATTGTTTGACTAGATTTTTTAATCAAATTCCTTTTTTTTTAATATTTATACTTGATTATCAAAAGAAAAATAGAAATACTAGATTTTTGAAATTGGCATTTAAAATGTAAGGTTAAGGGCAATTTTCTCTTTATACCATCTCCAAATCCAAAAACAACAAACTACACAGGAAAGGGAAAATAGAAATCTACACATATATAATCATAATTAGATAGGTTCAAAACAGCTCAAAGAAAATATCACTACTTAAGCTGCTAATAGTACAATTATGGCTTATTTAGTAAAAGAACTCAGATTCCGACATACATCTAGAACTGCATACACGTCTAATATGGAAATCCTCGACTCAATTTCACGACTACGAATCCGATGGAACAGTGGTGATTTTGGACTTCTTGTTCTTCTTGAGCTCGAATAGGCCCTTGACAAAAGCATCCACAATCTGTCTCTGTGATTCAAGTATCATCTCATTACGCTTCAATTCCATCTCCATTCTCGCTGTTTCCATTTCTCTAGCCATTTCCATCTTGGCTTTCTCCATCTTCACCAATCCTTCTCCCAATAACTTAATTGATTCGACCATTTCCTCGACTGGATTCCTCCCCCTCTTAATCCCAGCCCCATTCCCGTTCATGGCTTTTCCTGGATTCAAACCCCCTTTCAAACCCCAATATTCTTCATCGCCGTAGTGGAATTCAGGGTTCATTCTTCTATCGGGTTTTCCCAGCTTCTTGATTCTTAATCCTGGGGGGATCATATCTCCAGAGGATTTCATATAAAACCCACCGCTGATATTGAAATTAGCGTTGGATTCACCGAAATTTTTGCTTGAATTCTTTGCTTTAAGCTTCAGAGGAGGCACTGAAAATCCTCCCATAGTCTTTTCAGAACGAAATTTGGTTCCGAAACCGGTATGATCCTCCTCTTGTTCTAGATCCTGCTCCTCTTTATTGTCTTCCATGTCCAAGTATGAAGTATACTCAGAATTTTTTGCTTCCAAAATTGGGCTAGAATTGACATTATTCTTTGATTTGAGCTTCAATTTCAGTATGCTCTGATCGAGAAATGATTTCAATAAGGCAGTATTATCGGGTTTTTCACCGGATCCAGTATCTGCCGAGGGAGGGTCTGTTCCGTTCTCCATGGCGTCCATATAGTCGAAGAAGAACCAGGAGGATATGAAGCGACCGGCAGGGTAGGGATACGAGAGTGATCGCTGCTTCTCAGCGCGGTAGCGCTGGCGGAGCTTCTCCATCTTATGGCGGCACTGCGCCGAGGTCTTGGGAATGGGGGCGTCGGAGAAGCGGCTATTGATGATGGCCGCCACCGCATCCCAATCCGCCGTGCGCAGGTAACCCCTCCGGAGAGCGTACCACCTCTCGCGATAGGCGTCAATCAGAGCCAGCGTCTCCTCTTGGGTCCAGCATGGAGGCGGGAATCTCCGGGGAGGTTTTTCCACCGTTTCAGTGGCGACTACGTCCCCCACGGCGAGAGTGGTGGCTGTTGCGGTGGATGACATGGCTTGTTCGGATGGTACAATAAAAGGACCGGAAATCAAAATCAAGACAAACGGCGCACGTTAGCCAACCTGACGGCGTCGCCTTTCGATAGATCTGTTGTGCAGGTGGTTGCGGCGTACGTTAGCAAGGCGGTAGCGTGGTTACAGACCAAAAAGTTCTCATCTTTGGGCAAAATAAAAAAACTTTTATCAAAGACAGGATGCAGGTTGGGGGATTTGTGCCAAGGGTCAAAAACTGGTGGTGATGGAGGAAGTGCACGTTAGCAAGACGGGGGAGAAAATAGTGTCGAAGATAAAGAGGAAATTGGTGACTGTTTTTTAATGCTAATGTGGGATGTATAAAGGGACAAACAATGTTAAGGAGCGCACGATAGCAAGATGGGGTGGTTGGGAGTGGTGGTGGGGGTATTGTTGTGGTGGTTGATATCATGAGATAGCACATAGGCATTGAATTTAAGAGTAACAGTAATTGTAGTGAGAAAGGACTTAGGCTGTTGGGTGGGGTGAGGATGATGATGCTAGCATGCGCAAATGGGTGATAATGCACTCTCTACGCCCACCCCACTTGCCACCGGTCCACCCCACAACCCATTTTCTCCACCACTCACACGTAACAATCTGTTTCTCTCTCTCTCTCTCTAAAATCTTTAGTTGTCATTTACCTACTTACCCACCCAACGCCACCCACCCTATACCTAATGCAGGATTTCTCTCTCTAGTGGGGTGGCGTCCACCAATTGAAACCGACCACCACTCTCATATGATATGTCCACTATTGTCTCTCTCTCTATACCGTCGGTTGTATGCATTGTCTATACCTATCTACTTGTGTTGCTGTTGCTTCTCCACTAGTAGAGTAGGATTTCACCCTTTACATTTGGGCTGGGCTGAGAATAGCCAGCCCGGGAATAGAACGTAGATTGGCCCAATATAACCAGAGAAAGCAAACTAAGTCCCTGTTTGTTTTTCTTTATTAACCCATTAAAATAAAAAAAAAGGGGAAATTAGGCCCTATACTCTAAAAATGACCCGATTAGATTAATACTCTAAATTACTTAAACATTACATAAACCCGTATTTATTACGTTCTAAATTAAAACAAAACCCCCAAATCCCCCCAAATCTCAAAACCTCCCAACCGAGTACAGAGATCACAAATGCCCTGTACACTACTATTGCAGTTGCCATGTCGCTGCTACAGCGACAGTGATGGTGCTACATCAATTATGTCAATGTCTCTGCTTTTCGTGTTTTGGTCGATGAGGGATGGTGTGGTGATGTCTATTGGAATAGCCAACACTAGATTGGGTTTTTGTTGGCTAGGTGTGCGGCAGTGGACAAACTACTATAGACGATTGAGGTGCCAAGACGACGGTGGTCGGAAGCCGTCTAATTTAAGCGGCTCGCTAGAAATGTTTTCTCGAGCTATATGGAAAGACCTACTCTAGGTGCGTTG